CTCATGATAAGCGCCCCAAAGTTCCTACGACTCTCAAGTACAAGACAGATTCTATCATGGGAGCTACTCAAACCAATCAAGTGTATAAACCAGACAATCCACTTTTCACAAAAAGTGACATGTATCAAATTTTTTTTTTCAGGTAACACCTACACTGTACAGTCAGTTAGACATCTAGTTTCCATTTACCACCACAAAAGCAAAGTGACTAGATGCCCAAATGCCCTTTAAGATCCTGGTCACAAGTACTGAGAGCAAGTGTGATCAGATGTACAGAGTCAGGCATCACAGGCGTCTTCTCCACCCACAGCCTGTTAAGTATTCCTTTAAGAATACTAAAATTCAGAAGAAAATACACTTACTGTTTCCAAGTAGCTAGTAAACCATTCCGGAGGATTTTCATTTGTTCTTCCTGTTCTACTGTGATTTAACTTTTTCTGGAGAAAAAAAGCCAAAACAAACAAACAAAAAAATCACACCACAAAAATAAGTCACAGACCTCAAGTATGCAAAGCTGCAAAAAAACTCAATACAGCAAGTTAACCACTTTGAAATAGCTCTCCTCTCAAGTGTCTTTACAAAAAAAAAAAAAAAATCAAGTTCTTCAGAAAACAGCAGAAAAGCAACACAAGGAAGCCACTGACATTTTCCCAAAAGATTTCTGCCTTATTAGCATTTGAGTGTAATTACACATCAAAGTCAAAGACATCAAGTCAACGAGAAGTTACTACGTGGCCATCAGGGCTTCAGGAGACCAATTGTTTTGTTTATCAACATACTTTAAAATGGTCAACACAAAAGAATCTGTACTTCTAAATGCAGCACCAAAATATCTCCTTGAAGAGATTCAAACAATTTCACAACCTCCAATGGGTGCAGGTAGTTGAAGACCAACTTCTGAACTCGGGGGTTTTATGTATGGGTAAAGATGATGACCAGTCTATGAAGTGAATTACTCTTATGAATTCTTTGTTTTAATGAAGATACAATCCAGCTCTGCATCCTACCTGCATTGTCAGCTCCTTTTCATTTTTCAAGTCTTCCTCTAACCCCTGAGCTAGCATGGAATAGCACAAAACAGGTTTCTTCTCATCTTTATGAAGTGCCAACTTTTCTGTCACAGGTTTTTCATGTGGTTGCAAAGAACAAGAATATGAAGTTTCTTTCAGAAAAGAGTTTTCTTCATACACATTCATCTGAAGTTCATTTCCTTGTTTAACTGCAATCTGAATAAACAGTACATACATACACCGCATTTACTCCACTTACAACCAACATAAAAAATCCTGTAAAAATATGCACTACACTACACTGGAGGGGCTGGGGAAAGACTAACACACAGAAAAAGAAAAACTAAGTCAAATGCCAAGGTAGGGTCAGCTGATATTCTATTCTGTCTTTCTTAAAGGTTAAGAAAATGCTTATTAAAAAATTTTATTATAAGCAGAAGGATAATTATGCGGATATTCCGCAGGAATTTTTCAATCTACAATAAAGCTATTCATATGAGCCAGTAAACAATAGAGATTCTGTTCAGGAACTTACGGTAAATTTTAATTTATCATTATTTTCAAATTATTATGAGATTTGAAATTCAGATCATGAGCAAAAAGTTCCAAAAGCATTAATATTGTACAACTGAAATTTAACAGAATACAATTCTTATTTTGCCTAAATAAAACAAACTACTTATGAAGTAACTAAGCGTTGATACCAATTGAAGTTTTAATGTTGTACTCTCCAGCAACAGAGTCTATGTGGCAAGATTTTAAAAGGGACCCCACTAGAGCCCAGTATCTCCAAACACAGGATTACTGTTTAAGTGTTTGAGAAAGCCAGTAATTTAACCAACGAATTGTCTGCTCGGGGCCCTGAATCACAACTAGCTATCCAACTAATTTATACAAATCGAGATTAGCCCACATGGAAAAAAAATTGTAGCAAAACATTCAAGCTAGTGCCCAAAGCTAGAAAACCGAGCTATTCTGATTTCCACAGGCCAGGTAATGCTGGGTTTTTTTGCTCAGCTACACCAATTTTAATTGAAAAAAGTCAAAGAGAACATTTACCTTCAGAGCTTCTTCATATTCCTCTAAAGAAAAAGGGAAAGAAATGTGAATTTTCCCTGTCGCAAATAGATGTAAGTTTAGCACACAATACTTAGGGACCCTTACATCAAGGGGTGTCTCCCATACCTTCTGTAAATTCTTTTAAAATAAGTGCTACTGAAAAAAGTTGTATATACAGCAACACACAGCCTAGAGACTTAACACTCCATTAATTTAGCCATTTCCAATTTGTTCCTATGGATCAAAACCTCCTTCCTTTGGGAAGAATTTGATGTCAAATCATACATAAAATCAAAAAGCAAGCACTCTCAACCGCTTCTCCAAAAACATGGACAACAATTGGGGTTTGTTTACTGATTTTACTTCAGTAAAGTAGCAGCTCACCTTTGCTATTCACAGAGACCTGCAAAGAGAAATAATAGTGAGTAATAGCCACTGACATTTTTTGTGATTCTCTTAAAATTAACAAGCTTTCAGAATAAATGTACTTTAAAACTCCAAACTACCACTCCTTCAGGTAATTGTTTCTGCTGCCATGTTTAATCATTAATCAACATTGTGGTATTCTGGAGTAGACCATGTTCTTTATTGGATTTGCACAATAATCAAGGTCTCTGGCACGTACTAGCATCCATGAGTGCAGCCTCATCTACTGGAAATAAGCTGGTGCCAGTACCACTGGGTTCGCCAATAGTCAATAATGCAAGAAGCTTATTTAATCACTACAGCACTGCACGAGTCTGAACAATGTTTACTCTATTAGTATTTGAAAAAGATCTTTTAACAGATATGTCTATATATTTATATAGACACAGGCTTGCAAAGAAGGGGATAGTCTTTCCCTGAAATGTTGCTGGAAGCATCATGACATTTCCCTTATCAGAAAAAAAAATAAAAACAAAGAGCCCCAGCTCTGCAATCTAGCAGAGCTACAAACCAAGTAGTGGGACACAGAGTTTGCAAAACTTAAGTTCTGAGAGCTACATTCTACTCTAAATCTCTAGATAAACAGAAAGAATGTGAGTGGCTGAGGTTATGCCAAGCAGGAAGTTACTCAACAAGGACAACTAGAAGTGACAGATTTGTTTTCTGAGTCAGTAATCTGCTTGGAGATTATAGCATTTGCATAAAACAAGCAGAGGATTTGAGTACACCAGATCACTGAAGTAAACATATGTTAATGACAGAGGACCTACATTTTTCAGAGGAAGGAGTGTAGATTGAAGAGACAGGGCTTTACCATGGCTGCAAACACAAATAATTACAAGTACCTTATTCTCATAAAATGAAAAATAAGAGTCCCTCGAGAGCACACAGAACCACTCCCTGTTTCTACAGGGCGGGGAAAAGAAAGGCAGTAGCTTCTAAAAAAGTATTTTTAAATAAGTATGCTACATTAAAAGTGAAACCACAAGTCTAACATATTTTCTTATCAAAGGGGCCAAAAAAAAAAAAAAAAAAAATCACCTCTGATCTGCATAACAGATACTCCTGAAGCACCCACTACAAGGTTCACACCAGTCATACTTTAGTAGACCTGCTGGGAGAGTGGGGTGGCAGGTACTTTACCTCATCATTATCCTCATCAATGTATTTGATCTGAATGTTGTCCAGGTCAAATGAAACTTTAACCTGTAAGGAAAGTAGACCACAAAACCACAATGAGACAGGACTACAGATGTTTCCAGTTAATCATTATTATTAATCACAAAAAATGTTTTAACCCTTCCACCCCTCACTTCCATTTTAGTTGAAAAACACACTGTTTTACAAAATCCATTCCTCTGGAGTTGAGCAACTCTCCCAAGTGCTTGGCTTCAACTTCACTAACTTTCTACAGTGAAAAGAAAAAAAAAATTTCTTTCACATTTCACCTTCCCTAGTTAATGCTTACCCCAAAACAAATACTAACAACCTTTCCATTGTAAGAGGACTAGCTCAGGGTTAATGAACTCAATCATGGTAAACACTGCAACATAGAAAAGCTGAAGCCAACAATCACTGAATGCTAACTTTTACATTAAAAAGCACAAGGAAGACGGCTCACACAGGCAATCAGCCTTTCTTCCACAAGCCTATTTGTGTTTTGAGAAACTAGGATTAATTTAAAAAAAAAGTGAAGTATCACATTCTACTACTCACTGGCTGATGTACTGTACATCTGAACATACAAATCCACCAGATCTATACAAATAGACCAGAATTAGGAGAATAAAGCTGAGCAGCTATTTCGCATTTAGCATTAACAGGGCAGAACAAACAGCATCAAATGAACCATAAATGAAGACAGTTGTTTCCCTGCGTTGAGTAACAGTCTTTGAGGTTCACGTGCATTTGTTACTACGCAAGCTGCAATTCTCTCAACAGAAACCCTCTGAAAAACTGATGTATCCAAGGCACATTCTACTAGCCTGGACCTAATAGAAAAACACTATCAGCCTTAGCAGACAGCAGATGGTTGGGACTTACATAGCACCACAAGCGCACAATGACGTAGCTACATACGCACATTTTGCAATGAATGTGCTACAGGCAGGTTCTTCCAGTGATAGGTTCCAAATTAATTTTGGGAGGGCAGCAAGAGAACCAACTCAGCTTGTCGAGAAAAAGAACAGGTCTGTATTTACATTGTCTAGTACCACAGACTGTTCCCCTAAAACTCAAGCTAGAATCAGAGATCCGAGTTATCCCTTATAAACACCAGATGTTTAATAATAACATTAAAACATAGAAAAGACACAGTTTGATTAAAACTAAAACTACCTTGAAACAGCAACTCACACAAGATAGGGCAGAGACACCCAGTGGTGCTACCTTAGATAGAGAAGCATTATTGTAATAGAAGACCACACTTTGAACAAACACACCTTCACTCTCAGACTACTTAATCTTAAAGGCAACCCCACGCTAACATAGCAATCTGCTTCCAGCTTTGATTCCAAACAGTTCAGACATTCCTGCAGGGTCTACTCGCTACCAAATATTTTAAGCCTGAACTAGCACCTCTTCTAGAAAAGCGAAATACAATGAGTGAAGAAGACGCAGTTTAAACTTTAAATCTGAGTAATTAGCAATACAAGAACCTCCTACCAGGTACACTGGAACGTGTTAGTGAAAAAGGGAATCAAAAGAGAGAAAATAAAATACTGGCAAGACCTCTTCAGATGCAACTTTGAGAGTAAGCTAAAAAAAAAAACCCTAACAATTGCTACAGAATTTAAAAAAAAAAAAAAAAAATCACTGCAGCTTCATCATGATCAAGGGAATCCTTACAACACAATTTCAAGCTTGGCCAATACAGTAATTTTCACTGAACAGCACTGGAAATAAGCACCCAAACAAGAACTCTTCAACATACCAAGTGCACGATACAGACCTTCACAAGCAACAGTCTATACATGCACGGCCCACTAATGAAAACGGTTATATCCAAAGCAGCATACATAAGGCACCAGAAAGCAATAAACCAAAAACGTATTAGTGACTTAATACCCCAGACAGCAAAGACAACTCTTCAGGAAAATGTACTACAGGCAACAGAAGAGTTATTACCTCACCGTGTCTACTTCAGTGAGTAACCGAAGGGAAATAAGAGGAACAGACTGTACTTTATAGGTATGCAGTGCCAAAACCAAGTAACTCTAACTGTGGGAAAGAGCAGAACACACTCTGCTCACAGAGAAAATCAAGCGTCCTGTAAGCAGCTTTATCCAAAACAGCCTTTTCCCACCACTCGAGGTACATAACAGCAGTAAAAGTTACTGTTAACGCGGAAAGAAAAGCTAGGACGGCAGCAGAGTAAAACACCAGCTCTAACAGCCTGTGAGAGGAGGGATACGTCTCAGGAAGGCGCAAGGGAAGATGCTGAGCCCCCGGAGAGGCGCCTACATCCCCGGCGCCTCACCCGGACGGCTGCCCGCAGTTCCCGCGGCGGGCCCTCCGCTCGGCCTCTCACGGCGAGGCGGGACGGCGGCGCTCACCATGGCCTCCACGTCCGCCCACGTCGTGTGCGCCGAGTCTGACACCAGGAAACTTTGGGTCTCCCCACGGCAGGTGACGCGGAGGTTCACCTGCGGCTCCATACCGCGCTCTCACGGAAGCAAGGCGAGCCCTGTCCAGCGGCCCGACGATCCTAACATGGCGGACGGAACGCGGCCAGCCCCGCGCCCTCCGCGCGACACTATTGGTGGCC